CAACCAAACCACATAGTGATGGTACAGTGAACTAGTGTCAACAAAACCTACAGTGTGATGGGACCTTTTGTGTGGTACAGTGAACTGTGTATCAAAAACCCACAGTAGTGTGGTGACACAATTTAGTGATGGTACAGTGAACTAGTGTCAACACAACACCACAGTAGTGAGGGTTTGACACGTAGTGATGGTACAGTGAACTAGAGTGTCAACACAACACCACAGTAGTGATGGTGACACAGTAGTGATGGTACAGTGAACTAGTGTCAACACAACACCACAGTAGTGAAGGTGACACAGTAGTGATGTTGCAGTGAACTAGAGTGTCAACACAACACCACAGTCCACCACAGTCACCTCAGTAATGTCACTGTGGTCGACTGCTGCTCTCACCACATCCAGACCCTTCACAACTTTACCAAAGACACCCGAGTACTGGATACAACTTCGGGTGCCCCTGGTGATGATGTAGAACTGGGCACTCCGGTGACTCCCCGGCGACCATGGTGACCACACAGCACCAGCACAGCCTGACACCTGGTACAGGTGAACATCCTGGTGAGACAACAGTGGTGCTCCTCCCTCACCATTATTATACTGGTAGTCTCCACCACACACACTCTCCAATCGTTGACCCTTGTTCCTCACCCCAAACAGTTTAGTGTTGAGGTAGGAGGAGCCTGAGTGTTGTCCAGTACACAACAACACAAACTGTCTGCCCAGTGTAGTGTTACCACTCAGCTGGATGTGGAGTCTGTTTGATCCAGCCAGTGATCCAGGCTGGGCCAGTGATCCAGGCTGGGCCAGTGATCCAGGCCAGGCCAGGTCAAGAAATACCAGAGTGGAGGAGTGATCCAGCGCCTCCAACACCTCGCTCACCTACACAAACAAACATCATCACTGACTCTACATCTCACGTATTATTAATATTAACATTATTATATTATAATATTACTTTATTTTTATATTATTATAATTATTATTGTCATTATTATTAGTAGTAGTAGTATTACCTTTTATAAATAATAATTCATAATTATTTATAATAGGTAATACATTTATTAAAATATCAATTCATTATCACCTATCATTATTATTACTATTATTAGTATTATTACTATTGTAATATTGAAATCAAATTTTCTCATTATTAAAATATTACATTATTATTTTTAGTGCTTCCTTTGGTTATAATAATAATACATTATTATTATTATTATTATTATTATTATTATTATTATTATAAACAGTCAATAATTATATATTTTATAAAAGTAATATTTTTTCATAATTATTTTTATAATTACATTATAAATAACTATTACAAATATCAAATAACAATCCTACCTCTTAATAAAATATTATTTTATTTTTAATGTAATTTTAAACATTATTGGGGCCCCGGTGGTTGGTGGCTAAAGCTCCCGTTCACACACGGGGGCCGGGTTCGATTCCCGGGGGGAAAACATTTCGAAACTTTTCCCTTACCCCTGTTGTCCTGTTCACCTAGCAGAAAAATGGGGTTCCCTGGGGTTAGTCGACTGGTGGGGGTGATCCCTGGGGGACAAGATTAGGACCCAATGGAAAATTTTAGACAGTCCCGATGAGCACTGACTTTTTTGGGGTTTCCTGGGTGGCTAACCCCCGGGGGGTTAAAAACCCGAACGAAATTTATCTTATCTCTTATTTATATTTATAATTATTTATAATTGTTTTTTTTAAAATTAAAAATTTATATTAAGAAATGATTATTTTTACCAATTAAAAATAATTATAATTAGTTTCATAATAATTTTTAAAAATATAAAATAATAAAAACAACAACAGCGGGTGTTAAATGGTATGGCCGTTGCAAAAACAACAAAACAATAAATTAATAATAATAATAATAATAATAAAATAATAATAAATAATAATAATAATAATAAAATTTTTACTAAAATACATGTACAAGGGTTTATACATTCATGTAAAAGTATACAAACATGTAAAAGGTATACAAGAAATGTAAGGTATCAAGACATTATGTAAGATATAATGCGTTTAAAAAAAAAAAAAATTTTTTGTTGTTTGGGGGTCAAAAATGGCTAATCTATTTCAAAATTTTCCTTATGGGAACAAATTTCGGTCGTAGGCACAAAACTTATTCTGGAAAAAAAAATTTCGTTAACTGGGGTCCACTGTAATATACAAGGTGTGGAAAATTGCATTTTTTAAAAAGTATTTTATGTACATAACGAAATGAACGATAATTATTATTTACATTTTGCAAGTGGGAAATTTTGGGACACTGGGTCGCAAAAATTTCCCCCTTCGATAAAAACCACTGTCATATCCCCAATTTTTCTCTGGCCTATTAATTACCCAAGAAATATGTATCACAGGAAAGCGGTAAATTATAAATTTGTGGACTGTAAAAAAAAGTTTATATAAATACACATATTAAAAGAAGGAGAATAATTTTTAATCTAAAACTCACCAATTTGCTGGAATTAAAAAGGATCATACTCAGAAACCCCCATGTCTAATTTATGAAATAATACTGGCCAAACTTAAACATAATTAGACTGACTTGTGGGGTTCCGGAGCTGTCATGTCCAGTCGCCTGATATTCAAGTTTGCAGGAATGCACATCCCAACAAACCTCCTTTTTGGGAGGTGTCAACCCAATTTTAACCCCCTAGAGCACGAAAAATTTTCCCCCTTATTACAATGTCTGTTATTCAATTCAAAAAAAATGGCGACTTCCCTTTGCGCAGAGCGGTTTCCCTTTTTTATGCATAAATATTATTAAATAAGTATGGCCATCTATTTCATAAACTACTGTATTTCTGGAAAATATATCAGTATTTTCCACACTGTGGCCGGGGGAATTTATTGCTAACGACCAATTTTCTCCTTCCCTTTTGGAGACGATTCCAGCCGGGTTTGGCTTTAGGGCTGTTTCCTGTAGGCTTTTCGATTTATTTTCCGATCCTTTGGTCAGCGTTATCTTCCTATCACTCGTGTCATTTCCCTTTAAATTTTTATTTAATTTGATTTTAACAAATAATTCCAAGGGAATCAATTTATTAATTGTGTGTAAACTTTCCTGGCCATGACAAAAACACTTTGACATTCCGGGACAACACCTTGTGCATCTGGATACAATGTCAATACTTTGCCCAGAGGCCACAATGTTCGATGTTGTTCAGTATCAATCAACACAATGTCACCTGGTTGAATATTCTGTCGATTTACTGCCTCTGTCGCACCATAAAAGTGTTCACGTAGTGTAAGAAGATATTCCTTACGCCACACATTAGACCAATGATCAATTACTTTATTTAACATTATAAATTTATCACACAACACTGCTGCATCACTGTAATCTTCATCACTTTCTTCCGGATTATCTCTGTAGAAAGGGGCAGCTTCCAATTTCCTTCCACATATTAGGTGAGAAGGTGTTAATACATCTGCATCAGGTGTATCACTCATGTACGAGAGAGGCCTATTATTTATACGATTCTCCGCCTCCACTAACACTGCACGGAATTCTTCCAAATTAATTCTCTTCCTGTGTAGTACTTTACGGAGACACCTCTTCACTGTGCCTATCGGTCTTTCGTACAGCCCCCCCTGCCAAGGGGCTCTAGGAGTAATAAATTTCCAGGTACACCCTCGCTGGGTTAACAGAGATTGAACATCGTTACTATTATTTAATTCTATCAAGTGTTGAGCACTGCTACAAAATTTGTGGCATTATCCGAAATCATCAACCTCGGAACAGGATCTCCTAGCTGCAAATTTTCGAAACAGCTGTATAAAACTGTTCTGCTGACAAGTCCTGTGCCACTTCTAAATGAACTGCCCAAGTAGCAGTACAGTGTGAACAAACAAACATACACTTTCAGTGGAACACCATTTGACGTATCTGTTAAAATTATTGGACCACTATAGTCTACACCTGTTACATCAAATGGTTTCACTAATTGTACATGCTCCTTGGCAATTGTGGAGGACCTGGGTACATATAGGATCTGGCATCCACACATAAACATATTACACAAGATTTAATCACCCTTTTTACACTTTGCCGTCCTTGTGGAATCCAGAAAGTTTCCCTAATACAATGTAAGGTATCTTGTTCCCCCACCATGATTACATTTTTATGGGGCATTTAGAACAATTAAATTTGTTAGATGATGAGTTTTGGGCAGTAAGATAGGGTGTTTTGCATAATCACCCAATTCAGCATTTTGTAACCACCTCTGCCACCAAATTACACTGTTTCTAAATACAGCCCCAATTTCTATATTATGGAACCTTTCACAATTTTTCTTTCCATATCATTTAATCTCATTTCATAGATTTCCTCCTGTACCCTCTTTACCCAATTTTTCAGAGGATGTGAAAATTTATAAAAAATTTCATCTTGTTTAGAAATTTAAACCCCAACTTAGTTACATTGATTAGTTTGGGTTAAAGAGGAATACCTATTTATATCATTGGCTAATGAAGGACAAACTATTGGAGTGGTTTGTCACAGTATTTCAACAGGAGCAATATACGCCTTTTGTAAGGTTTTAGCTTTATTTACCAACCAGCTCGGTCCTTTAAACCATGATACAGCATTTACAAATTTAGCATAAGACAAACCTCGAGACAAGAAATCAGCTGGATTCTCCTCACCAGGTATTGATTAGTGTTAAAATATGTTGACCCAAACTATTATACTTCTCTTGCATCTGATTAATTTCAGCGACTCTGTTTTGTGTTTTGTACATACACAATTTTTCTGTTTCCATTACGAATCCATTGTAAGGATACCTCATTATCAGACCAAATTAAACAGTTCGCTAATATTTATCTCCTGCAACTTATTTTTATATAATTAGCTAATTTGACACCTACATAAATGGCTGTTAATTCCAACTGAGGCAAGGTGCGTGATTTAATTGGAGACACTTTAGCCTTAGACATAACAAGAGAAATAACACTATTACATTGAAGGTAAGCAACTGCTCCATATGCCAGTTTTGAAGCATCACAATAAATGTGGAGTACATTTTTCCCATTTGGATTGGCCACCTGGCATGGGAACTCCAACATCAGCACCTGCAGAGTTCCTGCTGTCTTCTATGTCGTCTTCGTTATTGTTTATCCAGGCTTAGCAGTTGGGTCTAGTCCTGACTCTTCTCTCTTCGACTCAAGACATTCCTCTCACCGTCTATTTTTTGCCCCTGCCCCCCAATTCCCCCTTGGGCCCCTCGTGGGCCCTTACCTGTGAGCCCGATTGATTGGAATTTTTTCATAATACCTTTTAATGAATTCCTCAGATAAAATTTCATCCCAACCCCAAAAATTTTAAGTTTCCTTTGCTTCCTGTACTAATAATTTCCCTTTTATAGTAAAGGGGTAAACACAAAAACCTGGTGGATAAAAAACTTTTGGGAAAAATTCAGAAAGGGCAAGATTCTCTTAGTTAATTTTTTGGGGCTTTACTGAAATTATTGGGGTTTTAACTTTAAAACAAATCTTTTTCAGTTTTGGCTGAAAAGAGTACGAAACCTTTTTATTCGGGCATGTAAAACACCCTAATTTTACAGGTATCCCCCCCAACCAGCAAAACCAGGTTTTTAAGAGTTGATGATGGGGCCCGTGTTCAATAGTGCCCAGGTTCTACCCAAATTTTAAAAAGGGGGGGTTTTGGAAAATCACAGGGTTTTTTGGGGGTACCGCTCTCCTGTTGCCCTTGCATTCCCATTCTAGAGGGGTTTGAAGCTGGCCCTTTGCTATCTTGTGGTTCTTTTTTGGGTTTTGCTTACCGTGGAGTGCATTTATATTACCCTCGTACATAGTGTTAAATTTTGCTTTTCAAAAATTGGTAAAGGGGA